CACACACACACACACACACACACACACACACACACACACACACACACACACACACACACACACACACACACACACACACACACACACACACACACACACAACACACACAGTGCACACACACACACACACACACACACACACACACACACACACACACACACACACACACACACACACACACACACACACACACACACACACACACACACACACACACACACACACACACACACACACACACACACTGCCCACTCTACAAGGGAGAAAGAGAAAACCTTGTGAGAAGGGAGTTGTGTTGTGACTTGTGAGTTTCCAAAATATTTCTGTAGTTTTGTTGTTTATGGAGTTTTTTTTTTTTATGCAAGTACTTCTGCTTTGTATTGCTTTATGTTGTTTTGTATCTTCTAGATTGTTGTAGTGTTTTTTTTTAAATGTATGGAGCTGCTGCTGTTGAATTTGGTTGTGATTTCCCATCCCTCTGCCCTTATTACTTTTGGAAATTTTGTTGTATTTTCTAGTCTGTTGTGTCATTTGGGTAAATGTTACCAAAGGCGACACACAGAAATGGAGGGAAATGAACACCATCATTTTAGAGAACATAAGGAATAGAATCATACTATCTTGTTCTATCTTCTAAGAAGCTGCAAACCTATTTTGATATCCTACCCCATAAACCTAATTTTTTGCTTTTATCAAAATTGTTATACCATTGATTGAATCAAAAGCTTTCTCAATATCTAGGCATACTACTAGTGTATATATTCTTTTCTTTTATTGCTCGTCCAGTTGTCATGTCTATTACTTGTACTGCATCTGTTGTGCTTCAGTCCGGTCTAAAATCCATTGGATCACATACTTTTTTTCTGGACACCAGTTCACTGCTTATTTTATGGTGTTCTACTTGTAAATGAGTTTTTTTTTTCTTCGTTTGTAGATTGGGTTGATTGCCTTTTTAATTTCTTTTCGATATTCTCCTTGTTCCCAGTATCTATTACAGTCATTAGTTATTAAATATAAGTGGATTTCTGTCAAATTCATAGTGATATTAAGTGGGCCATATGCTTTCCCATTTGTTGTTTTTCACAATGTGTTAATTCTTCTAATGTGAAATCTTTGTCTTTTTCATTGTTACAGTTTAATATATCTTAAATTTTTCTTAGCAGTGTTTATGTTTGATTACTTGTTATATTTCCATAACCTAAGTAATTCTAGATTTTGTATCTGAACACTGGGATGTTTTTCTATTAGAGGGTAATTACTTGTTGTTTTACCGGTCTCTTTTCATGAAAGCATAGGTTTTTGGAAGGAGTTCTAAAATTTATGGAAGCACAACTTTGAGGTGTATTTTGGCATTGGCTTACATGTCTAGGGCTTATGTTAACCTGTGGAGTGTGTGTCTCTAGTTATTTTACTTTTTTCTTTTGGTTTTGTGCTTGTAATTTTATTAGTGTTATTTCCAACTTGTTCTCTTAAAGGTTTCTGTTGTTTTTTGATATCTGAATTTTAGGTGTGAAGTTGCATTTATTCATTAATTATGCTTTATTGTGTATGCTACATGAGTTACTGTATGGTACATGATCACCTTCACAAAGGAAGCAATTTGGATGATTATTACGTTCTTTGACAGTATGATTGAAATTACTGCATCTTTGTTTTTTGGAAGTTAGAATCCCATGACCATATCCATGGCAATTATAGCTTTTGGGTATTGGGAAGGTCTACTGTTTGACTTGGTACAAGATGTGGCCAATTGCTGCCCTTTGTGGCAGTGGTCCTGTAAATGTAGTTCATTGGGACCTTGTTGGAATCCATTTCTCTGTTTTGGTTTCTTGATTTCTATTGTTCTTGATATTTCTTGAGTGTGATAAACATGACCTAATGTTCTATTTTCTTTTCTGGTTGTCCTTATATCCGGATCTGTTTCGACTGGGTATGGGTACAATCTGTTTACACTAGATGCTGGTTGCTTTCCATTTATTCCCATTACCCAAATTTTAACATTTTTGCCAGGTCATGTTTTCTTAATGTCAGCATTTCGTATTTTATTTTATTTATTTATTATTTTTTTTACACTGTTCTGCATTGTCTGGTAATTAATGTCTTTTGTTATATTTTGTCTTGAATGTATATGGTTGCAGAAGTAGAATTTGAGGTTTAATCTTTACCTATCTGTAAATATTTTTGGACAATTCAGATATCTCGTGTTTTCAATCATCATGAATTTTGACTTTATTAGTTGTTTAGGGATATATATGTACATATATTTTAGCTAATATAAAAATTAGTTTCTATATTTTTTTTAAATGTCAAACTATTTGTGGAATAGGGCTCCTGTTTGAAAATATATTTGTTTTTCGTGTAACTACGTTTCTAGAACTACGAACAAGCTTCTTTCATCTTTTTGTGAACTAGACATCTTTTTTCTTATTCATTTTTTCTCCTAATCTTTTTATTTCGTAATTTTCTTATTATGTAATATATTCATTTTTGGTGTGCCTGCATTTTATTTTATTCCTGATGGCATCTTATTTGTAAGAGTGTATAAAGCTACTACTGGTGGGGGTTTAGGCAGTCCATTGCTGTTCTTCAATCATTACTTTTTAGGATTTCTAATCTTTATATCTGTGTTTTTCACTCTACTGAAAATTGAGATACCATATTCTGTGTCAGGTTTATGTAGTATTTTATTAATGTTTCTCTATTTCTTCCCCATGTTGTATATATGTTTTTATATTTACTCTATTTGATCATTTTATTTTTAGCTGATTGCTAAGGTTTTCCTTGGTTTATTTTGCATCAAAATCTATACCTAGAATTGTGTGGTTGGCTGTGAATTCGAGTTTTTCGTTATCCATTTGTATTAAAGGTATTTGTGTTGTCCTGTTTTTTTTATGTTTATTGTTAGTTTCTGTTTGCTAGCCTACTTCTAGGTTATTTTTAGATTTTGTCGTAGGTGACGTAGGTGAAACCTGAGGTAGTTCCCTTGCTATCTTTCCTTCTGCAGTTTTGTGTTCATGAATCTGTTAGGTCGTCTTTGTCTTGCTTTATATTTGGATTTACTTATTTTTGAAATGCTTTGGGCTATTCTCCTTTTCACCAGTAATAGTAAATAAGAAAATGGAATGCACTATTTGGGTCTTTATTATTTGCTAAATTCGATCCCTCTTTACTTAAATTTCTAGATGACTTAGATCTGGGGTTCTGTTTGCTATGTCATTACAAGGGTTGTAATTTAATAGTAAACTTAACCATTTTTTCTTAAAGCTAATCTTTATAGCTTTGCTATTTTTCTCTCTCTGAGGGTGACTATTACATATTGCATACTAATTTGTATATAAATTGTTAAATGCTCTCCCTTTTGTTCTGTTCCATCTTTTTGTATTAGTTTTTTATATAGTATTCTAAATTTGTCCTTTTCCTTAATCAAATTTTGCAAACTGTAAAACCCTCGGGATTTCCTTTATCTATCAAATATTCATCTTTTTCAGTATGGATCCAACATTCCAAAGAATTACTTTATTCATTTATGTATTTTGATATTCCTTCTAAGAATCCAAGAATCCAGATGCTTTTGTTAGTATCTGGGCACTTATTTCAATTTCATTTTTATTTATTTTAAGTGTATCGTTATATTTCATATTAGTTCAAGTATACTGTTTGCAATATCTATCCAAGATCTTTTTCATGTTTGTTTTTAGTTATTGGTGAATTTTCTTGTCTTTTGTGTTGTGTTTGGGTGTTTTTGTTTTGTTTTGCTTGTATATTTTTATATTTTGATTTTCTATTGCTGAATAATCCGTGTGAAGGATTTGGCTGATCCTTTAATATATATCCTTGGAATTACTGCACATAAGTTTGTTTTTGCAAGAAAGAGCCCATCTCTATACATAATGTATTTACAGCCTTTGGGGATGGAAAATGTTTACTAGAAAACTTGGTAACAAGCGTGTTGTTTTGACTGGGCTAACCAGTTTCCTAGACTTTTTTGATTTCAAAAGGACAATATATATATATATATATATATATATATATATATATATATATATATATATAGATATAGATAGATAGATAGATAGATAGATATCACTTCAAAGCTTTCCCATCTAAGATTCTTAATGATTTTTTGGAAAATGATTTATTTAAAGCTTCGGTTAGTTTTATTGTTGAAATTTGAAGTGTGTGATTTGTTTGATAAATAAAGTACAATTCTTGTGGTTTCTGATGTGTAGGTTTAGGGTTCTGTGATCTGTCTGCCAGTTTCTTCCTCTCATGTATGTTTGGCGTATGGGCAGTCTTTCCTGTCAATATCCTCATATGCTGTGTTTTTGTTTTGTTATTTGTAATGCATTACATTGCTTATACTAAGCATATCACCTGAATCTAGTTCAAGAGTCGAGTTCATGAAGCTTTCACTTTTCTAAGATTGGCACAAACTAGTCAATTTTTATTCAAATGTTCACTCAAATAGAGCATACCAAGAATTTCTCCAATCCCACGTCTCAGCTGGAGTATCTATTTCTCCGGTGTGTGTGTGTGGGGGGGGGGGGGGTTTTTTCTCTCCTCTTTGCATCTCTTTTCTCTCTTCTCTTTGCGTCTCTCTCTCTCTCTCTTTCTCTTTGCATCTCTCTTTCTCTCTCTCTCTTTTGCATTTTCCCCCTCTTCTCCTTTCTCTGATTTTTCTCTCTCCTTTTCTCTGCATTTTCTCTCTCTTTCTCTTTTTCTCTCTCTTTCTCTTTTTTTCTCTCTCTCTTTTCTTTGCGTTTCTCTCTCTTTCTCTTTGTATCTCAATATTTAGTTGAAAGTAAAGTTTTGCAGATATTTAGAATTGCAGGTATCTAAATTAGTTAATGATTTTAAGTGCATTATTATTGTTTGGTTTGCTTTCCACAATTTCCATATTTGTTTCAAATTGTTCACTGACATTTTGTTTTTCAGTGTGATATGTCAAGGTGAAAGCGGGTAATGCTAACTTCTAAATTATTCCTTTTCCTCAACAGGGAATGAAGAAGACATCTGGAGGTTAGTTTCTTTGCTGTTCACATGAAATCAATGCAAAGTGAGACTGAAGCTTCGGGTGTGGCTGCATGCAGACATACCAGCACATCTATTCCCTTCCGCAAAGAACATGAATGGAAATATCACTTCATTTCAGGAGAGATTGTGAATGGAATTGCATAGCTTTTTTTTTTTTTTTTTTTTTTTACTTTAGATGGGGGGGGAGAGGGGTTTCAGTTCTCTCGGTGAAGGTTTACATTATAAGAATTACGTTCATTTATAAGAAAAAGAGTGTTGTAAGTACAATTATAAACTAATTAAACTAATGACTATTAGTTTATCAAATGTAGGCCTATTTAAAGTATAAGATATATAAGATTAATGCATTAATTCTTTCTTATACCTCTTTATATATTTTTAGCCCCCTAATCCATTGGTCGTTGCTGTTATGGGGGCTTAGGAGACAGACTGGGGCCCAGGGTGGGGATTGCCCCTACCTTGGGCCCCAGCCCTCGACTCAGCCAACTCTGCATGGCCTTTTCGTCTCCCCCTTTCCTTTTCCTTTTCTTTTCTCCCTTCCTTTGTCCACTTCCTAAGGTGTGAGAGCCTTGTTGAAATGATGAAAAGCAGGCTTTGTGTCATTCATGAATGGCCTCCAGGAGCCAAGGGCACGGCATGCCCTTACCCCTTATGGGGACCCAGAGGGGAAGACCATTTCTTTTTCCCTCTTATATCAGGCCCACCATGGCCACTAATGAAGATATTTACCCTATATGGGGTATTGAGCCTTGCCCCTTACCCCTGTATCAACTACCCTATTAACTTTTATTTCAATGGTTTTCTTGACCCCCACCTCTCCTTTGACCATGGCTCTGGCCACTGATACTGTGAGGTTTCCTCATTGTCTGCTGACATTGTCTCTCTCCAACATTCTCCACTCCATCAACTGCACAGTCTTCTTCATTGTCTACCCCCTTCCACCTAATTACTATTTCATCCTTATTGCCCCCCCCCCCCAACTACTACTTCACTCCACATCCTATCTTCCTCCTCTTAATGTTTCCACCTCTGAAACCTTTTGAATACTGGCCAAGCCAAGTGGGATCGATTCTTTGTGGTTCCTTCCATAGCCTCTTACTCTGACAGTACCCTTCTCTTTCAGCAATGTCTCTAAAAGCAAGTTGGCAAAGTTTCCTTTCCCAGTCATTTCTATCATAAATGCCTTGTCACAGTTACATCTGAGTCCCAAGCTCGTGCACTGTCTACCCTGGCTTAGCTCACTATTCCTCAATCTCCGAGACTGATTGTCCTTTCTATGACAATGACTACTTGCCTGCCTTGTTGACTATGATACAGTGGCAGTACATTGCTATGCTATTCCTCACACAGGACAGCATAAGTTATACACCAATATTGCGAAAATAAGCATACATACACAAGTCCTCCCCCATTTAGTTCATTTTGGCCTGTCCGACTATATGGACCCCTTCTTCACCAATGTCAGGTGTTGTCATTTTGGCCACCCAGCCAAACACTGTTGCTCCTGGTCTTAACCATTTAAATTGCCCTGCTCAGTCATGTATGTATGCCAGTTGTGGTTGCTTTCATAATTCATTTAATAAGAGCTGCCCTGGCTATAAGCTTAGATAGCAGATTCAACTAGGCCTCACTCTCCATGGGGCTAGACAGTATGTACAGCAACGAGGTTTTTCTCTCTCTGTCTCTTCCAAAACAGTACCAGTATATCTTCCCTCTACCCTGAACCATCCTACCTTTACTTCCTTCTCCCCCAAATCCTTTAGTCTAAATCCAGATACTAATATCTACCACTTCTCCGATGCCTACCACTTCTCCTCACTTTACCTGTCACACCAGACAACCTAAACATTCCACCCCATCTTTGCATTCTACATCCCCTCCTACACCCTCCTTTCCTCCACTCCTCGAACATCTATCGCCTCTTTTCCTCCTCACAAGAGAACCTTTGTTCCCCAAACCTCCCCACCCAACTTCCTCTCCAAAAACTTTCGAAGACATCCAAAAGTTCCTAGACATGACCGAAAACAATGTTCCGCTTCCTCATCCACCCTCCAATCCCCCTATTTCTAGACCCTCTTCAAAGTACTTGCCGATATCCATCCTTCTCCCCGTCAAATTTCCCCAACCTTTCTTCCTCCCACTCTTTCCCTACACACCCCATCCTCTCCTCTATCTGCATTATTCCCTCCTTGTTCCCCATTATCCCTACCTCTCCCAACTGGTAAATATTATAAATCTGACATTAAACACATTTTATTCTTATCGTTATTTTTTTTTTATCATTATCATTATTTTTTTTTTTACCATTTTTGCCACAATACTTTACCATATTGATTTCTGACCTTTGATGTTTAGCACATTTATTGGTTTCAGCCATTAACGTTTGTTCTGTTAGGTGAAAATAACACGAAGCGTAACAGACACTCGATCCAAGGAAAAGGGTAACGAATCCTCTTGTGTGCAACCACATTCTACCATGTTCATATCACAATTTTTGTTATTGGCAAAATGACTACATTCTAGTCTGATAATCTTGTTTACAGATAAATACTGTTCCCATGTGATATTAATAAATTAGGGAAGAAAATGCATACATTCATGTGCTTTAGGGTATACATAGTGTGACCGATCTTAGCCCTTTCTCCAACTTGCGCCCACCTTGATACCATCATATTCTCAAATCATCAGGGCTCAAATTTCTAATTTCACTTCCTTTTTCCATTGTGTAATCTTCGCATGGAAACTGGAACGAGGGTGACAATGGTTATGAAAAAATGAAATGAAATATTACTTTGATTTTTTCTCATTTCCCTAAATATCCATATAACCAAATACTAAATTACCTTGGAATTGAACTAAAAGGTGCCTTTATATTACCTAAATTGTATCCCAATATTGTTAAACTAAATTAGCGTAAAGGTGAGTGTGTTCGCGTGTGCTTCCTGTTGTATTATCAGCTACCTTATTTTCAATTGCAATAAGATCTCATTTGTATTATCTCTTCTCTGAACACTTTTTGTGCACTTCCTTTTCAAATGTTTATGTATTCGTGTATATGAATATGTATTCATGTATACGGATACATATTCATGTGTACGGATACGTATTCATGCGTATGGATATGTATTTATGTATACGGATGCGTATTCATGTATACGGATATGTATTCAGGTATATACGTATTCATGCATACGGATACGTATTCAGGTATACGGATACGTATTCATATACCAGGTATACGGATACGTATTCATGCATATGGACACGTATTCAGTTATACGAATACATATTCATGCATATGGATACGTATTCATTCATACGGACACGTATTCAGGTATACAGATACATATTCATGCATACGGACACGTATTCAGGTATACGGATACATATTCATGCATACGGACAAATATTCATGTATATGGATACGTATTTATGCATACAAATATGTATTCAGGTATTCGGTATATGAATACGTACCCATGTATACTGATATGTATTTCAGCAGCTCAGATCATCAGCTTGCTAACCTGTCATAACTACTTTCCATGAAGACCCTTTAATTAATAAACTAGTATGAAATGGTGCAAAGGGTAGGCAGTTTTTTGCATTTATCAATCACATGACTAAGTTCAATGAAAGAAATCTACATAATCAGAAATGCACTGTTTGCCAACTTACAATAGAGCATACATTTTGCAAACAGTATCTATGATATTGTATTATCATAGTATCAGCCAATGGTTTTCTTCAATACTAAATATACAGAAATGTGATTAACATATATTTGTAATCTTACAATCATTACCTCTAGATGTTTTCAAAAGATCTGCAGATATTTAATACATTCAGTATTATTTATACCATGTTCCAGACTAAGCACTTCACTTTTGCTTTCAGATATTTAAAGACTGTGATGCCAGATGCAGATGAAGGGAGGCGACCAGTGCTAAACCTCATCATGTGGGAGACCTTCACCTCTGATTTGGTCGTAGCACCATGTTGAGATATTTTCTTAGTTTGTATATATAATGTGTAGTTACACATACTTCATACAGTTAATATAAAGGTTTATTTACTGTCTAGTGATTGAAATATATTTTTACAATATTATTTTACCAAGGTATTAAATGGCATATTTTTAGAATATTCTTAGGGTATTATCCAAAAGAAAAATGTACATTTTGAGAAAGATTTTTTCCTTAATTTAAGAGAGAGTTGTTAGTTACATATTCTAGTGTTTAGTTTGAAGTATTACCTTTTGAGTGTGGCATTTG